ATTTCAGAGTTACCTAGTAATTTTTAATTTTTTTTTCTGTAATGAATGTCTGTGTACTAACAGGCAAAATCTGGACTTCTGTTACACCGGATCTCAGCATGCAAAATAGGAAAGGTCTGAGTTAATGTTTATAGCTCATTTTTTGCTAAATTTCTTCTACTGAATTCAGGGATGAAAGCATCATCTAGGAGTTTTTATACAAGTGGTAAAATGGTAGAAAAAAAATCTTTCAAGGTGTATACATCAAGAATTGTATAGATAATCTTTGTGGCAAATATTATGCCAGGTGAGACAAGATGTCCACAGGGGTTTCTTCTGTCCTTAATGTGTATGATGATATTAAAAATTCACAGCAAAAAGCAACTATCAGTCATTCCAAAATATGGCATCAGAGAGTGGGGATAGAAAGCAAGCCTTTTTTTTTTAGTGGCTTAGTTGCTCATGAACACTTATGGCAAATGCTAGAGTGAAGTTAGCTCACTTCATATGGATCATTTCACTTCAGATTTTTTCTAATAAACATTTGCTTAGCAGTAACTCTAGATGTCTTTTTTAAATTTATCTGTAGCTAAAACACAAAGAAAAGGAAATAGTATTAATTACGTTTGAAAACATACAGTTTTGTTGAATACTCATGCATATAATAAATATTATTATTGGATAAAAATATTTGTAAGTTTTTATAAAGTCAGTTTCCTATATTAGATTATATCTAATCCTGTAATTTCACAGTCCCTTATTAATAGCTACATTTTAATATAATTTTTTCTTATAGAGTGGACAAGTTCAAATACCTAGTATTTTGTATATGCAAAACTCAAGGACTGCTAGAAATATGGGTATATCCTCTTGCAAATATATATATATTTATATATATATTTATATATATATATGTAAATATATATATATATATATATATAAATTATATATATATAAATATACCTTCTGCTTAATTTTTCCACCACTTCTGAAGTCTTAAAGAGGCACCCTTCATCCTTCACTGTAGGGAGAGGGATATTTGGCATCTTCAGTTGTGTGTGGGAGTTTGATGTTGCAATATTTAAGAAACTGAAGCCACCAAATAAACACATTCATTCAACAATACTCTTCATTTTCTACAGCTATCATAAAGAAAAAAAGCAAATAACCATGGGACAACGAACACTGTATAATATTACTTACACTCAGAGCAGCAATAATACACACCAGCACTTTATAGGCAATTACAGTCTTCCCAAATGAATGAAACAGCTGTTCAAGTTACAGAGACATGAACATCTGTATTTCCAGGATGACAAAGTCGAAGATGCTTAACCCTGGATGAGGTACAGACCCCAGGAAGACCAGCTTGGTGAAGCTGGAACCCATCTAAATGATGATCTGAATTCCATAAATGAGGTCACTTGGAGAAATGCTTTTCCTTTTGAGGCTTTGACTTTTCTTTTGCAATTCTTCTTTAAAAGAGGCTTTTTTATTGATTGAAGTATGGAAATTTTTATTGATTTAATTATGGAAATTTTACAGATTTAAAATTTACTGATGGAAATTGAAGAGGAAACTTTTTTAAAAAAACCCTCTACTTGCCTCTTTAAGTCCCAAATTACCTAACAATATAATAACATGACAACAGTTCCACCAACAGAGATACAGACTATTGTCTTTCAAAAGATATGAGAAAGAAGGACTTGAAATAATTAATAAATTACTTTGAAATATGCAATTATTAAATATTTAATAGTAATTAATTATATTACTGCACTGCTTCAAACATTCAATCTGAGAACCATCCAAATAACTTTCAAGGATTTGAACCAAAATATACTTGATGTTAGGAGTTTTTTGTGGTAAATGAATGTCTGCTTTTCCATATGAGAGCACATTCCTTCAGACTAAATGATATTTAATTTACTACTTTTTATTTTGCATTTTATCTATTGTTGTTTTAGCATAAAATAATAAATGTAGAAAAGGGGGGAGATTAACCATTTTGGATGAGATTCCAGGTGCAAGGTAGTAAGTAATTTTTTTAATTGCTCAGGGCTAAATTGAACTTAAATGGCTTGGAATTAATCACTAATTCCTTCCTCAATTCTTATGCCTTATGATTTAATGCAATACTTTAAATCAATTTACTAGAAAACTCCTAATAATGGCCAAAATGCCCCATGAATATTTTCTTTATGAATATTTTCCAAACAACATCTTTGCTCAAATCAAAGAAAAGGATCTTAACTCTTTTAACATATAAGAATTTTAACTTTTTCTAATATTTCCCATTTGGCTGCCTATACACATATCAAGGCAAACTATGTAAGATTAATAATACATATTTTATAAAGTATACATGCATTAATAATTTAAAAATAAATCTTCAATATATCCTTGGGTAGCAAAATTCCCTCCGGCATACTTTCAAAATTACACTCTATTTTGTAAACCACTTAAAATGATCCATTAGCTCCTCTGTGCATTTTCTGTGTTCATTTACACAGAACATCCATAGAAAAAATTGCTAATATTAAAGAGAATGGGGTTACTAATGTGCAACTACAAAGACACATAAATTCTTTCTTACTGTCACTGCTCACATGCACATATTTTTTTTAACAGAACATGTACCAAACACATCACCTAGGAAAGTCAAGATAAAAAATACATTACTACTTTTCTGCTAAAGGCAACTTCAACTAAAATTAGAAATAGTGTACATTTTACCAGTTATCTCTGCTGTCACCAGGCCAAAAAGAGGAATATTTTAAAAATCACTTTATGTGAGTAGGTGAGAAAAGATCTGTCTAAAATAATAATATCTGAAAAGTAATTAATAGGTCTTCTCTGTTTCTGATAGAGTAAAAGCTTGTCCTGAAATCTGCTGAGCATCACAACAAACTTGAGGCTGCCCTAGTTTAGCAAAATTAGGTAAACTGTATGTATGCTGTAAATGCTAATCCACAGGTCCATGTGAGACCAATCACTATACCTAACAATCTGGATTTTGATGTTATTTAAAATATTTCTTAAGAAATTTAAATTTTGCATATACATATACCTTTTCTACCACTGTCAAGCAGTAATCCACAGTATTTTGAGACACAATATGTAATAGATTACAGGAGACTTTATTGAAACATCTGAGAGCTAAAGAGTTAATTTAAAAAGGGTATTTGGAGTAAGATAATGGAGTCATTTTAATTTACAGGCAAACAGATCTGCAGTTAACAACCACAAAAAGTGCAGCAATAAACAATTAAAAGTTACCTCTTTAACCCATTAGCACATTGCTAATTTCAGAGTTGAACCCTGAGGTAATGGGCCACTCCAGCTACTTACACTCTGCAACAAAGAGGAGTGATGTCAAAGAGTTAATGAACTGAAGATAAAGATTGTGCCACTAAAACTTGAAGGAAAAGGATATTTTGTGTGTGTGCGTGTGTATG